ACACTGTGGCTTCAGGTAACTGAAAACCAAAGTTTTTGTGGATATAGTCTGTGGAATTCTGATCCAATTCCTGTTTCACCACAACTCTTAGTAAACCCCAGCCCTTCTACAGTAAGACTACGAACGAATGCGATTTTGAAAACAGCTTTTCAAAATGCCTGTGTCTTCTACAGTTGTACTTGCAATCGAAAGAACTCTTTCAGTTACCCCATCTCCCACAACCGATTGCTCTCGTAGCGCACTGTTCCGTCTAACCTTCAACAGCAACCTCAGAAATTCAGCGGCAGCCTGAGACACCTTCGCTCGGACACACGGCCGGGGGCAGCAGCACCAAGTCACTACGCGGGGGCTCGCACCACTCTTTTGAGGAGGAAAAGCACATTGCTCTCAGCTTTGCCCATGAAAACTGCTCACCAAGACTGACGTTTCCTCCTAGTAATTTCATCACACTCAGAAAAAGGTTAAAAGTAATCCGCATACTTAAATATTTTTTAATTACAATTACAGGCTAAAACTCGTTACAAGTGTTTTTATCGCTTTGAACTTTTCAGAAATATCTTGGGTGTTTGCCATCCCGCAGGAGGACTTTTCAAACCAGCTCTTTTCCAGATGCGCTCCAAATCTTTCTCAAATTTTACCTAAAACAGAAAAAAAAAAAAAGGGAAAGAAAAAATAGTCATGTAGCTCAGAAGCAACACTCCAGTATTCAGCCACTGCCCGGGTGTCCCAAGGAGAACCTAGGTACAACACGCACAAAGCAAACAACTGCTTTGAAGTAGGCAGTTAGTTCTGAGCGCCCAAAGGGTCAGCCTTACTGTAGAAAATACATTGAAATGCACAAGGATGTTGGCAGCATTATTTTAAGAGTCTTGCGTAAGGAAAACTGAGAAGATGGAAAACAAAACTGTAAGAAAATTAAGAGGCTTTCCTCTTCATACAGTGTCCAACACTGCTTCCTAGAAATCTGAACAAATGGAATTACAATTAACCCCAATTTGCACCTAAGCAAGGTGAAAATTACCAGAGAATGTACTAAACCGTATCATAGCAAACCTAACAGACTCCTGAGAGGCAGTGCTGAAAGAGAACATCTACAGTCTGAATGAAGGCCCATGTCTTCCCTCATCCCTTCTATTAAGGGAACTCACAAGCTTCTATATAGAAAAAAGACAGTAGGAAGCACTTGAGGATGTTGGCAAGACAGGAAAGAAATTAAACCAGTCTCCCTGATATAACACAGACACATGACTTAATCTTTCACACAAATGCTAAAGTTCTTCTCAGCTAGCCATACAAGTCACTGTCATGCAAGAAAAGTTTTGCCTAGTAACTATCAGACACCTATGCTTACAATCACAGAGACATTCTAAATTACAGCTTATGCAGATGTACATGTCAAGCACAAAACAGAAAAAGCTATCGTACCAGCAAATACTGAATTCATTAAAGCTCTCCAAGCTGCTGCTAATTTTCCCCAAATCAATTCCACCTAAAAACATCATCCGACTCCTGACCAGAGCCCAGTCTGAGAAGGGCACATTTACATCAAGAAATTCACTGTGCCCTGAGCTCACCTGACGTTTCTTCTTGCGACCTTCCTTTATCCTCCTCCGTACAAACTTCCTTCGCTTCAGCAGCTTTTTGTACTTGTGCCGATTCATTTTCCTTCTGCGAATCTTCAAGACGTTCTTACATTGAAGCTTGTCGCTAGGTGTTCCCTCTCCTTCCTCCACATCAGCTCCCTCACCAGACGGGGGACAGTCATATCGCTGGCGAGGTTCGCAGCCCCCCTCTTCCTGAGCATGAAGGACTTCTGCTTTGGGAAGGGAGTACCTAACCGTCAGCCAGCTTTCCAAGGGGCTGATGGAAAGTTTTCTGGGGATCAGCACCTCTTCCAGTTCAGGGTCCAGAGCATACGACCGCTGAGGCTGCGCTCCGCTCTTGTTAGATGGCTGCGTGCTATAGTGCGCAGGTGTAGAATGACAGCAAAGAAAGGAAGACACCGACCTTGGCAAAAGGTGGCCTTTGAGAAGAAAAGAATTCCACTTAAGAGGCAGAATTTTCAAACAGTATCTTAAGAAAAGCTCTGACCAGCTCTCAAACCACCAGACAACTGCGGCCAGAATAAAGGAAGCTCCTTACGAAAATATATTCCCATCACAAAAGCAAGGAGGACTTTTAAATTTTAATTGTGTTGCTGTAACACCATCTGCTAAAATTACATTATACAACATTTTACTGTGTAAACTGTGTAAGTGCAATCTGGAATGGCTACGAACTCTTTGCTGTATGAAGCCTTTCTGCTGCCAAGGAATCTCCTCCTGAGCTTAGAGGAGGTCAAATCAGAGCTACGCAACACTGACAGAACAGCTCGGCGACATCACAACACTCCACAACTACTGAACCAACAACAGCCTCCCCACTCTCGCGCTGCTTCCTGGGAAAGAAATTTCTGGGAGCTTAATTACTTCAGAGAAAAAAACAGAACGCCAGGTCACACGGCACCTGCTTACCTGCAATTCGTGAAGCCTTCACCACGCGGGAAGTCAGCTGTGATATCAACATGTCGCTCCACTCTGTTCGCTGTCAGGGCCAGCAACGACTGCTAAAAGAAGAACATTTATTCAATGAGGCAAACGTGTTCTTTTTACACTTTGAAAATAACCTCTACATTTGACCCCAAAGCCGCGCTGCGACCCTCGAAGCGCCCTCCTCGCTTCCCCAACGCGGGGCGGGACCTCCCGCAGCGGCCCGGCCCGCAGGCGCCGGGGCAGCAGAGCTGCAGAGCGGGGTGA